CCTCTTCCTTGCGGAGGGTGATCTCTGATGATCAATGTTAAACATCTTCCTTGCGGAGGGTGATCTCTGATGATCAATGTTAAACATCTTCCTTTGTGGAGGGTGATCTCTGATGATCAATGTTAAACATCTTCCTTTACGGAGGGTGATCTTGATGATCCATCTTCCTCTACGCGATGATCAATGTTATCTTCCTACCGCAGGTTGATGAACAATGAGGGTGATCTCTGATGATCAATGTTAAACATCTTCCTTGTGGAGGGTGATCTCTGATGATCAATGTTAAACATCTTCCTCTACGGAGGGTGATCTCTGATGATGATCAATGTTAAAAACATCTTCCTTGATGGAGGGTGATCTCTGATGATCAATGTTAAACATCTTCCTTGCGGAGGGTGATCTCTGATGATCAATGTTAAACATCTTCCTTGCGGAGGGTGATCTCTGATGATCAATGTTAAGAAACATCTTCCTTGTGGAGGGGGGTGATCTCTGATGATCAATGTTAAACATCTTCCTTGTGGAGGGTGATCTCTGATGAATAATGTTAAACATCTTCCTCTACGCTCTGATGAGGGTGATCTCTGATGAACAATGTTAAACATCTTCCTCTGGTGGAGGGTGATCTCTGATGATGATCTCTGATGATCAATGTTAAACATCTTCCTTGCGGAGGGTGATCTCTGATGATCAATGTTAAACATCTTCCTCTACGGAGGATGATCTCTGATGATCAATGTTAAACATCTTCCTTGTGGAGGGTGATCTCTGATGATCAATGTTAAACATCTTCCTCTACGGAGGATGATCTCTGATGATCAATGTTAAACATCTTCCTTCCGGAGGGTGATCTCTGATGATCAATGTTAAACATCTTCCTCTACGGAGGGTGGTCTCTGATGATCAATGTTAAACATCTTCCTCTACGTAGGTTGGTCTCTGATGATCAATGTTAAACATCTTCCATGCGGAGGGTGATCTCTGATGAACAATGTTAAACATCTTCCTTGCGGAGGGTGATCTCTGATGATCAATGTTAAACATCTTCCTTGTGGAGGGTGATCTCTGATGATCAATGTTAAACATCTTCCTCTACGGAGGGTGATCTCTGATGATCAATGTTAAACATCTTCCTCTACGGAGGGTGATCTCTGATGATCAATGTTAAACATCTTCCTTGCGGAGGGTGATCTCTGATGATCAATGTTAAACATCTTCCTTGCGGAGGGTGATCTCTGATGATGATCAATGTTAAACATCTTCCTTTGAGGAGGGTGATCTCTGATGATCAATGTTAAGAAACATCTTCCTCTACGGAGGGTGGTCTCTGATGATCAATGTTAAACATCTTCCTCTACGGAGGTTGGTCTCTGATGATCAATGTTAAACATCTTCCATGCGGAGGGTGATCTCTGATGAACAATGTTAAACATCTTCCTTGCGGAGGGTGATCTCTGATGATCAATGTTAAACATCTTCCTTGTGGAGGGTGATCTCTGATGATCAATGTTAAACATCTTCCTTGTGGAGGGTGATCTCTGATGATCAATGTTAAACATCTTCCTCTACGGAGGGTGATCTCTGATGATCAATGTTAAACATCTTCCTCTACGGAGGGTGATCTCTGAGGTTCAATGTTAAGAAACATCTTCCTGCGGAGGGTGATCTCTGATGATCAATGTTAAACATCTTCCTTGTGGAGGGTGATCTCTGATGATCAATGTTAAACATCTTCCTCTACGGAGGGTGATCTCTGATGATCAATGTTAAGAAACATCTTTCTCTGCGGAGGGTGATCTCTGATGAACAACGTTAAACATCTTCCTCTACGGAGGGTGATCACTGATGATCAATGTTAAGAAACATCTTCCTCTACGGAGGGTGATCTCTGATGAACAATGTTAAGAAACATCTTCCTTGCGGAGGGTGATCTCTGATGAATAATGTTAAACATCTTCCTCTACGGAGGGTGATCTCTGATGATCAATGTTAAGAAACATCTTCCTTGCGGAGGGTGATCTCTGATGATCAATGTTAAACATCTTCCTTGCCGAGGGTGATCTCTGTTGATCAATGTTAAGAAACATCTTCCTTGCGGAGGGTGATCTCTGATGAATAATGTTAAACATCTTCCTCTACGGAGGGTGATCTCTGATGATCAATGTTAAACATCTTCCTTGTGGAGGGTGATCTCTGATGAACAATGTTAAACATCTTCCTTGCGAAGGGTGATCTCTGATGATCAATGTTAAACATCTTCCTCTACGGAGGGTGATCTCTGATGATCAATGTTAAACATCTTCCTTGCGGAGGGTGATCTCTGATGATCAATGTTAAACATCTTCCTCTACGGAGGGTGATCTCTGATGATCAATGTTAAACATCTTCCTCTACGGAGGATGATCTCTGATGATCAATGTTAAACATCTTCCTCTACGGAGGGTGATCTCCTTTGATCAATGTTAAACATCTTCCTTGTGGAGGGTGATCTCTGATGATCAATGTTAAACATCTTCCTTGCGGAGGTTGATCTCAGATGATCAATGTTAAACATCTTCCTCTACGGAGGGTGGTCTCTGATGATCAATGTTAAACATCTTCCTCTACGGAGGTTGGTCTCTGATGATCAATGTTAAACATCTTCCATGCGGAGGGTGATCTCTGATGAACAATGTTAAACATCTTCCTTGCGGAGGTTGATCTCTGATTATCAATGTTAAACATCTTCCTTGTTGAGGGTGATCTCTGATGATTAATGTTAAACATCTTCCTTGCGGAGGGTGATCTCTGATGATCAACGTTAAACATCTTCCTTGGGGAGGGTGATCTCTGATGATCAATGTTAAACATCTTCCTCTACGGAGGGTGATCTCTGATGATCAATGTTAAACATCTTGCTCTACGGAGGGTGATCTCTGATGATCAATGTTAAACATCTTCCCTCTACGGAGGGTGATCTCTGATGATCAACGTTAAACATCTTCCTTGGGAAGGGTGATCTCTGATGATCAATGTTAAACATCTTCCTCTACGGAGGGTGATCTCTGATGATCAATGTTAAACATCTTCCTCTACGGAGGGTGATCTCTGACGATCAATGTTAAGAAACATCTTCCTGCGGAGGGTGATCTCTGATGATCAACGTTAAACATCTTCCTTGTGGAGGGTGATCTCTGATGATCAATGTTAAACATCTTCCTTGCGGAGGGTGATCTCTGATGATCAATGTTAAACATCTTCCTCTACGGAGGGTGGTCTCTGATGATCAATGTTAAACATCTTCCTCTACGGAGGTTGGTCTCTGATGATCAATGTTAAACATCTTCCATGCGGAGGGTGATCTCTGATGAATATTGTTAAACATCTTCCTTGTGGAGGGTGATCTCTGATGATCAACGTTAAACATCTTCCTTGCGGAGGGTGATCTCTGATGAACAATGTTAAACATCTTCCTTGCGGAGGGTGATCTCTGATGATCAACGTTAAACATCTTCCTTGCGGAGGGTGATCTCTGATGAACAATGTTAAACATCTTCCTTGCGGAGGGTGATCTCTGATGAACAATGTTAAACATCTTCCTTGCGGAGGGTGATCTCTGATGATCAACGTTAAACATCTTCCTCTACGGAGGGTGATCTCTGATGATCAACGTTAAACATCTTCCTCTACGGAGGGTGATCTCTGATGATCAACGTTAAACATCTTCCTTGCGGAGGGTGATCTCTGATGAACAATGTTAAACATCTTCCTTGCGGAGGGTGATCTCTGATGAACAATGTTAAACATCTTCCTTGCGGAGGGTGATCTCTGATGATTAATGTTAAGAAACATCTTCCTTGTGGAGGGTGATCTCTGATGATCAATGTTAAACATCTTCCTCTATGGAGGGGATCTCTGATGAACAATGTTAAACATCTTCCTTGCGGAGGGTGATCTCTGATGATCAATGTTAAACATCTTCCTCTGCGGAGGGTGATCTCTGATGATCAATGTTAAACATCTTCCTCTATGGAGGGGGATCTCTGATGATCAATGTTAAGATGCATCTTCTTCTACGGAGGGTGATCTCTGATGATCAATGTTAAACATCTTCCTTGCGAAGGGTGATTTCTGATGATCAAACTTAAGTAACATCTTCCTTGCGGAGGGTGATCTCTGATGATCAATGTTAAACATCTTCCTCTATGGAGGGGGATCTCTGATGATCAATGTTAAGATGCATCTTCTTCCTTGCGGAGGGTGATCTCTGATGATCAATGTTAAACATCTTCCTCTACGGAGGGTGATCTCTGATGATCAACGTTAAACATCTTCCTCTACGGAGGGTGATCTCTGTTGATCAATGTTAAGATGCATCTTCCTCTACGGAGGGTGATCTCTGATGATCAATGTTAAACATCTTTCTTGCGAAGGGTGATTTCTGATGATCAAACTTAAGTAACATCTTCTTTGCGGAGGGTGATCTCTGATGATCAATGTTAAACATCTTCCTCTACGGAGGGTGATCTCTGTTGAACAATGTTAAACATCTTCCTTGTGGAGGGTGATCTTTGATGATCAACGTTAAACATCTTCCTTGCGGAGGGTGATCTCTGATGATCAAACTTAAGAAACATCTTCCTCTACGGAGGGTGATCTCTGATGATCAATGTTAAACATCTTCCTTGCGAAGGGTGATCTCTGATGATCAATGTTAAACATCTTCCTTGCGGAGGGTGATCTCTGATGATCAATGTTAAACATCTTCCTTGCGAAGGGTGATCTCTGATGATCAATGTTAAGATGCATCTTCCTCTACGGAGGGTGATCTCTGATGATCAATGTTAAACATCTTCCTCTACGGAGGGTGATCTCTGATGATCAATGTTAAAGAACATCTTCCTCTGCGGAGGGTGTAGGAACATCCACAGCGTGTGGCGTGTACTCTCCACTAACTCTTCACTGTGGTGAGTACTTCCAACTCTGAAGCGGAGTTCTCAGTATCAAGGTTTCTGTTTCAGCGATAAAAGCTGAACTTGCGGATGTTGGTATAGCCGGAAATCAAGTGAAGGGTGTCAGAGCACCAGAGCTGAGAGCCGGTGGCATTGACGAGTTCATCGGCATGGGCGAAAACGACTTTGACTACGACGCCTCCTGTATTAGTTCCGAGTTTGATCAACAGGTAAACTTCATTTATCGGAGCGAATAAAAGTGGATAGACAAAGGGCGGGTTGGATAGATGAGGATAGTGAAGATTGGATAGATGAAGATAGTGAGGGTTGGATAGATGGAGATAGTGAGGGTGGGATAGATGTGGATAGTGAGGGTAGGATGGATGGAAATAGTGAGGGTTGGATAAATGAAGATAGTGAGGGTGGAATAGATGAAAATAGTGAGGGTGGGATAGATGTAGTTAGAGAGGGTGGGATAGATGTAGATAGTGAGGGTTGGATAGATGGAGATAGTGAGGGTGGGATAGATGGAGATAGTTAGGATGGGATAGATGGAGATAGTGAGGGTGCGATAGATGGAGATTGTGGAGTTGGGATAGATGTAGATAGTGAGGGTGGGATAGATGTAGATAGTGAGGGTAGGATAGATGTAGATAGTGGAGGTGGGATGGAAGGGGGTAGATAGTGAGGGGTTGGATAGATGTAGATATATTGGAGGTGGATAGATGGAGATAGTGAGGGTGGGATAGATGTAGATAGTGAAGGTGGGATAGATGTAGATAGTGAGGGTGGGATAGATGAAGATAGTGAGGGTGAGGATAGATGTAGATAGTGGAGGTGGGATAGATGTAGATAGTGAGGGTGGTATAAATGGAGATAGTGAGGGTGGGATAGAAGGAGATAGTGAGGGTGGGATAGATGTAGATAGTCAGGGTGGGATAGATGGAGATTGAGGAGGTGGGATAGATGGAGATTGTGGAGGTGGGATAGATGGAGATTGTGGAGGTGGGATAGATGTAGATAGTGAGGGTGGCATAGATGTAGATAGTGGAGGTGGGATAGATGTAGATAGTGAGGGTAGGATAGATGTAGATGGTGAGGGTGGGATAGATGGAGATGTGGAGGTGGGATAGATGTAGATGGAGTGTGAGAGTGGGATAGATGTGGGTAGATAGTGGAGGTGGGATAGATGTAGATAGTGATTGTTGGGATAGATGTAGATAGTGAGGTGTGGTATAAATGGAGATAGTGATTGTGGGATAGATGTAGATATAGTGAGGTTGGGATAAATGGAGATAGTGAGTCTTGGATAGATGAAGATAGTGAGGGTGGGATAGATGGAGATTGTGAGGGGTAGGATAGATGTAGATAGTGGAGGTGGGATAGATAGAAGATAGTGAGGGTGGGATAGATGTAGATAATGAGGGTGGGATAGCTGTAGATAGTGGAGGTGGGATAGATGAAGATAGTGAGGTTGGGATAGATGTAGATAGTGAGGGGTGGTATAGATGGAGGATAGTGAGGTGGGATAAATGTAGATAGTGAAGGAGTAGGATAGATGGAGATAGTGAGGGATTGGATAGATGTGGATAGTGAGGGGTGGGGTGGATGTAGATAGTGTAGGTGGGATAGATGTAGATGGTAGAGGTGGGATAGATGAAGATAGTGAGGAGTGAGATAGATGTAGATAGTGGAGGTGGGATAGATGTAGATAGTAGAGGTGTGGTATAAATGGAGATAGTGAGGGTGGGATAGAAAGGAGATAGTGAGGGGTGGGATAGATGTAGATAGTCAGGGTGGGATAGATGGAGATTGAGGGAGGTGGGATAGATGGAGATTGTGGAGGTGGGATAGATGTAGATAGTGGAGGGTGGCATAGATGTAGAATAGTGGGAGGGGGATAGATGTAGATAGTGAGGTAGGGATAGATGTAGATAGTGAGGGGTGGGATAGATGGAGATTGTGGAGGTGGGGATAGATGTAGATAGTGAGTGGGATGGATATAGATAGTGTGGAATTGGAGATAGATGTAGAATAGTGATTGTTGGATAGATGTAGATAGTGAGGGTGGTATAAATGGAGATAGTGATTGTGGGATAGATGTAGATAGTGAGAGGTTGGGGATAGATGGAATAGTGAGGGCTTGGATAGATGAAGATAGTGAGGTGGGATAGATGTAGATAGTGAGAGATTGGGATAGATGTAGATGAGTGAGGGTGAGATAGATGTAGATAGTGACGGTGAGATAGATTGAGAGATAGTGTTTTTCTGGATAGATGTAGATAGAGAGGTGGTATAAATGGAGATAGTGAGGGTGGGATAGAAGAGGAGATAGTGAGATGGGATAGATGTCGATAGTGAGGTGGGATAGATGTAGATAGTGGAGGGGTGGGATGGAAGGGTAGATAGTGAGGTTGGATAGATGGAGATAGTAGGGGGTAGGGATAGATGGAGATAGTGCGGATGGGATAGATGGAGATAGTGATGGTGGGTTTGACTGATGGAGATAGTGGATGATAGGATAGATGGAGAATAATGTGGGTTGGATAGATGTAGATAGTGAGGACTGGATAGATGTAGATGGTGAGGATTGGATAGATGGGAATAGTGGATGGATAAATGGAGATAGTGAGGGCTGAATGAATGTAGATATTGGAGGTGGGATAGATGGAGATAGTGAGGTAGGATAGATATGATAGTGAGGTGGGATAGATGTAGAGGAGATGGTGAAGGTGGGAAAAGATGTAGATAGTGAGGGGTGTGGGAAAGATGGAGATAGTGAGGATGGGATAGATGGAGATAGTGAGGGTGGGATAGATGGAGATTGTGAGGGTAGGATAGATGTAGATAGTGGAGGTGGGATAGATGAAGATACTGAGGGTGGGATAGATGTAGATAATGAGGGTGGGATAGCTGTAGATAGTGGAGGTGGGATAGGTGAAGATAGTGAGGTTGGGATAGATGTAGATAGTGAGGGTGGTATAGATGGAGATAGTGAGGGTGGGATAAATGTAGATAGTGAAGGTAGGATAGATGGAGATAGTGAGGATTGGATAGATGTAGATAGTGAGGGTGGGGTGGATGTAGATAGTGTAGGTGGGATAGATGTAGATAGTGAGGGTGGGATAGATGAAGATAGTGAGGGTGAGATAGATGTAGATAGTGGAGGTGGGATAGATGTAGATAGTGAGGGTGGTATAAATGGAGATAGTGAGGGTGAGATAGAAGGAGATAGTGAGGGTGGAATAGATGTAGATAGTCAGGGTGGGATAGATGGAGATTGAGGAGGTGGGATAGATGGAGATTGTGGAGGTGGGATAGATGTAGATAGTGAGGGTGGCATAGATGTAGATAGTGGAGGTGGGATAGATGTAGATAGTGAGGGTAGGATAGATGTAGATAGTGAGGGTTGGGATAGATGGAGATTGTGGAGGTGGGATAGATGTAGATAGTGAGGGTGGGATAGATGTAGATAGTGGAGGTGGGATAGATGTAGATAGTGATTGTTGGATAGATGTAGATAGTGAGGGTGGTATAAATGGAGATAGTGATTGTGGGATAGATGTAGATAGTGAGGTTGGGATAAATGGAGATAGTGAGGCTTGGATAGATGAAGATAGTGAGGATAGATGAAGATAGATAGTAGAGGTGGGATAGATGTTAGATAGTGAGATGGGATAGATGAGATAGTGATTTCTGGATAGATGTAGATAGAGAGTGTGGTAAATGGAGATAGTGAGGTGGATAGAAGGAGATAGTGAGGTTCTGGATAGATGTCGATAGTGAGGGGTGGGATAAATGTGGTATGAAATGGAGATAGTGAGGGTAGATAGATGGAGATAGGAGGAAGGACGATAGATGAGATAGTGAGGGTTGGATAGATGTAGATAGTGAGGGTGGGATAGATGAAGATAGTGGATGTGGGATAGATGTAGATAGTGAGGGTTGGATAGATGTAGATAGTAGAGGTGGGATAGATGTAGATAGTGAGGGTAGGATAGATGAACATAGTGGAGATGGTATAGATGAAGATAGTGAGGTAGGATAGATGAATATAATGAAGGTGTGATAGATGTGGTTAGTGAAGGTGGGATACATGAAGATAGTGAGTGTTGGACAGATGTAGATAGTGAGGGTAGGAGTAGATGGAGATAGTGAGTGAGTGAGTGAGTGAGTGAGTGAGTGAGTTTGTTTGTACGCCGCACTCAGCAATATTCCAGCTATATGGCGGCGGTCTGTAAATAATCGAGTCTGGACCAGACAATCCAGGGATCAACAGCATGAGCATCGATGTGCGCAATTGGGAACCTATGACATGTGTCAACCAAGTCAGCGAGCCTGACCACCCGATCCCGTTAGTCGCCTCTTACGACAAGCATAGTCGCCTCTTACAACAAGCATGGGTTACTGAAGACCAATTCTAACCCGGGACCTTCACGGGTATGGAGATAGTGATTGTTGGATAGATGGAGATAGTGAATGTAGGATAGATGGAGATAGTGAAGGTAGGATAGATGGAGATAGTGAGGGTTGGATAGATGAAGATAGTGATTGTTGGATAGATGGAGATAGTGGGGGTAGGATAGATGGCGATAGTGATTGTTGGATAGATGTACATAGTGAGGGTAGTATGGAAGAAGATAATTGAATACAAGGTTTCCAATTCTACGATTTCAGTCCAACCTGAAGTGGCCATACACCTACGACTTCATCCCCGGACCAGCGTGCAACAACGGCGAGCCGCCGAACGCGCCGTTCCCTGGTGAGTGTCGTCCATGTCGATGACGTTAGTCTCCTTGTGCAGGATTGTGTCTCTTTATATAAGTATCAGTTAGACAGGCCACACAACTACAAGACAATATGGCAATATGGTAGAAAGGCAGTGGTTATAGCAATGATGATAGCATTCGCCAACCAGTGTCAACATTACGAAATATGCCAGGAACTAAGCTTCGGAGCCAGAACAAAACTGTCATTTAATGCATTGCAAACTGTCCCACAATGAAAACCTTATATCATTCCTTGCCTCATTAAAACAAAACTTGTCTTTGACTATCACTGGTTATATATCAGTGGGTGTATGTCTGACAATGCCTGACTAAATGTGAAATGACTTCAGGCAAATGGCAGTTTCTTGTGGCCAGCCTCAATTTCAATGGATCAACGTGCGCAACTCCAAGTGCCTGTACCAACGTGTTCACCCAGAGCGACGTCTTCGACCTGTTCTTCGACAGGTAAAAGCACGTGACACTACCAAACTCTCATACGTAATACTGAATTATAAACCTATCTCCGATTTTCTCTGCAGTAAAGTAGGTTCCATCCAGAATCGGGTAGACCTCTGTCCCTGCCCTGGGCCCTTATTCTCAAAACGTTCGTAGCCCTAAGAATGTGTTAAGAATGGGCTTAAGAAGTTCGTAGGGCTTACGAAGTTTCGAGAATAGCTAGCCAGGTTTTGAAGTACACATTTCGAAACCTCATATCAGGTTAAATTTCGATCATTTCATAACCTAGGTTTTGAAGTGGTCGTAATTTAACCTGATATGAGGTTTTGAAATGACCATTATTTATGATTGATACAACTTTGTCTTGCTATGACTGATCGTAAAATATCTCATTATTGAAAACTTCCAATATATAGTGGTAATAACTGGTTTCGAACCCGCAACTCTTCGCTCACAACTTTGGCGGTTTTATCCACTAGGCTACGAAGGATCGGTGTAAAGAATGGGATTGTTTGTCAGTAGGAACCATGTGTTCCTCACAAGATGGGTACTGCAAGGTGTTGGCTGCGAGTCGCATCCCAGTTGACACCGGCTGTTCCATCATTTTCGGACTGTTCCATCAATGTTGTTCTGCTCAGTACATGCACAAATTGAAAATAATACATATTTGTGTTTTACATTCATGACGGTTCATAAGTCGGATAAAACACTCCCCCTAGGTCTTGGTCGGGATTGTAAAACCCTGGAGCAGCAGGGACGGAGCCTTGCCCTCGGTTTTACAAGCTCCGTCCCTGCTGCTCTCAGGTTTTACAATCCCGACCAAGACCTCGGAGTCGTGTTTTATCATTTACATAGACATCCACCATCTATTCTTAAAGAATCCCTCACACTCTTTCAGGCGCTCGTGACACCGTTCTGTCACGCACACGTCACACAAATTTACACACACACGCACGCACACACGCACGCACACACACACGCACACATTACACAACAACAGATACGCACGTCAGAAAACATGGGGTTGCCGAAAGAAGTAGAGTAAAGAATAATACTTTTTTGTACAACTTTTAAAGGGCGGGAATTATGTAGCCTTTGTATATTGTCTCATGTATTGAACGGGATAATTCATAATTCATGTATGCCGTTTGTCAAGCTTCGCCAAGCACTATGACGGGGACCGCTCCCCCTTCACTCTCATCATCAACCCCGACTTCGTCCTGGTGCCGTACAAGCTGGCGGGGCTGCAGGAATTCCTGGAGTATGTCAGGGCAGCATTCCAGGTAACCTTGACCCTATCGTCACACTAAATGGTAACCTTGACCCTATCGTCACACTAAATGGTAACCTTGACCTTATCGTCACACTAAATGGTAACCTTGACCCTATCGTCACACTAAATGGTAACCTTGACCTTATCGTCACACTAAATGGTAACCTTGACCTTATCGTCACTTTAAATGGTAACCTTGACCTTATCGTCACACTAAATGGTAACCTTGACCTTATCGTCACATTAAATGATAACCTTGACCTTATCGTCACAATAAATGGTAACCTTGACCCTATCGTCAAACTAAATGGTAACCTTGACCTTATCGTCACTTTAAATGGTAACCTTGACCTTATCGTCACACTAAATGGTAACCTTGACCCTATCGTCACACTAAATGGTAACCTTAACTTATCGTCACACTAAATGGTAACCTTGACGCTATCGTCATACTAAATGGTAACCTTGACCTTATCGTCATACTAAATGGTACCCTTGACCCTATCGTCACACTCAATGGTACCGTTGACATTTAACTCAAAATGGTAACCTTGACCTTATCGTCACACTAAATGGTAACCTTGACCTGATCGTCACACTAAATGGTAACCTTGACCTTATCGTCACACTAAATGGTAACCTTGACCCTATCGTCACACTAAATGGTAACCTTTACCTTATCGTCACACTACATGGTAACCTTGACCTTATCGTCACTTTAAATGGTAACCTTGACCCTATCGTCACACTAAATGGTAACCTTGACCTTATCGTCACACTAAATGGTAACCTTGACCTGATCGTCACACTAAATGGTAACCTTGACCTTATCGTCTCACTAAATGGTAACCTTGACCCTATCGTCACACTAAATGGTAACCTTGACCTTATCGTCACACTAAATGGTAACCTTGACCCTATCGTCACACTAAATGGTAACCTTGACCTTATCGTCACTAAATGGTAACCTTGACCTGATCGTCACACTAAATGGTAACCTTGACCTTATCGTCACACTAAATGGTAACCTTGACCTTATCGTCACATAAAATGGTAACCTTGACCTGATCGTCACACTAAATGGTAACCTAGACCTTATCGTCACACTAAATGGTAACCTTGACACTATCGTCACACTAAATGGTAACTTTGACCTTATCGTCACACTAAACGGTAACCTTGACCCTATCGTCACACTAAATGGTAACCTTGACACTATCGTCACACTAAATGGTAACTTTGACCTTATCGTCACACTAAATGGTAACCTTGACACTATCGTCACACCAAATGGTAACCTTGATCTATCACTATAACATTGACCCCTCACTCTACCTGACAATCTTGACCCCTAATTATGCATGCAGACCCTGAACACCACTATACCTGGTAACCTTCACCTCTCACCTAAACTGCTAAAGTTCTTTCACTCTAAATGGAATCCTTGAACTCTCACTGTAAATGGTCAACTTTTAATCTTCCTGTTAACCTTTACCTCTCGCTATAACTGGTAGCCTTGACTTCTCACTTTCCCTGGTAACCCTGACCTTGTAACCTTGACCTCTCACTGTAACTTGGTAATAATGATCTCTCACTTTCCCTGGTAACCTTGACCTCTCACTTTCCCTGGTAACCTTGACCTCTTACTCTACCTTGTAACCTTGACCTCTCACTGTAACTTGGTAATAATGATCTCTCACTTTCCCTGGTACCCTTGACCCTATCGTCACACAAAATGATAACCTTGACCTTATCGTCACACTAAATGGTAACCTTGACCTTATCGTCACTAAATGGTAACCTTGACCTTATCGTCACTTTAAATGGTAACCTTGACCCTATCGTCACACTAAATGGTAACCTTGATCTATCACTATAACATTGACCCCTCACTCTACCTGACAATCTTGACCCCTAATTATGCATGCAGACCCTGAACACCACTATACCTGGTAACCTTCACCTCTCACCTAAACTGCTAAAGTTCTTTCACTCTAAATGGGATCCTTGAACTCTCACTGTAAATGGTCAACTTTTAATCTTCCTGTTAACCTTTACCTCTCGCTATAACTGGTAGCCTTGACTTCTCACTTTCCCTGGTAACCCTGACCTTGTAACCTTGCCCTCTCACTGTAACTTGGTAATAATGATCTCTCACTTTCCCTGGTAACCTTGACCTCTCACTTTCCCTGGTAACCTTGACCTCTTACTCTACCTTGTAACCTTGACCTCTCACTGTAACTTGGTAATAATGATATCTCACTTTCCCTGGTAACCTTGACCTCTCACTTTCCCTGGTAACCTTGACCTCTTACTCTACCTTGTAACCTTGACCTCTCACTGTAACTTGGTAATAATGATCTCTCACTTTCCCTGGTAACCTTGACCTCTCACTCTACCAGGTGACCTTGACTTCTCACTGTAACGGGTAACTTTGACTTCTGGTAACAATCACCCTCACTGTCAAGGTGATGTCTCACTGATTGATGTCTTTGACTGGTTGTATTTTGCAGGACACTTGGATTCTACCTATGAGCAAGAGCAAGGCGCTGGACTGGATCAAGGACCCCACTCCCAACCTGAACATCACCACCTTCCAGCCCTGGTCCTGCTAGCGAGCTGACTGTGAAGCTCCATCACTACTACTACCAGTAGTACAAGCAGTAGAAGACTCGACCATCATAATCCGCCGTCCGTGACACAGACTTTATAACAACTCACATTGTCTTAGTCATCCGTTGTTATAAAGCTGTGTGATTAACCTTATCTGATACTGCTCCCAGTTGTCAATCTCCTCTCCTCAGTCCACTTGCCACCCCTATATCTAACTCCCTACCCTCGTGTAGTGTCACCTATATCTGACTCTCTACCCTCATATACCGTCACCTATATCTGACTCTCTACCCTCATATATCGTCACCTATATCTGATTCCCTACCCCCATATAGTGTCACCTATATCTGACTCTCTACCCCTCATATACCGTCACCTATATCTGACTCCCTACCTCTCATATACCGTCACCTATATCTGATTCCCTACCCCTCATATACCGTCACCTATATCTGACTCTCTACCCTCATATACCGTCACCTATATCTGACTCTCTACCCCTCATATACCGTCACCTATATCTGACTCTCTACCCCTCATATACCGTCACCTATATCTGACACTCTACCTCTCATATACCGTCACCTATATCTGAATCTCTACCCCCCATATAGTGTCACCTATATCTAACTCCCTACCCCCCTATAGTGTCACCAATATCTGATTCCCTACCCCTCATATAGTGTCACCTACATCTGACTCCCTGTCAACTCTAATTACAACATGTAATAAAGTCATTGCTGTACTTTTTTAGTTTTGTAAAGACTTCTTTCAGTTGTGTGAGGTATGTGTGCAGGTGCAAGTCGCTTCAGCACTGACGTGATGCTTTATTTACCCCCGTGAGGCCTTTACCCCCGTGAAGCCTTCATCCCCAAAGCCGCATGTATGGCAATAATCAGGGGAGACAACTAGTAGAGTCCTGTTTCCTCGATTCACGTATGAGAACATTGGCATCTCTTGTCAAATATATACTCGAACATGGATAGCTCTGCATATGTCACTACAAGGATACAGAATAACGTGTCTAGCAAAGTGTCTTTCAGTTTCTGGATATGTGGTAATGTGTGTAACTCAGTTTCTATCAGTTTCTGGATATATAGTAATGTGTCTACCTCTGTGTATATCAGTTTCTGGATATATAGTAATGTATGTAGCTCAGTGTATATCAGTTTCTGGATATATAGTAATGTAAGTAGCTCAAGTGTATATCAGTTTCTGGATACCTAGAAATTTGTCTAGCTCAGTGTATATCAGTTTCTGGATACATAGTAATGTGTGTAGCTCAGTGTATATCAGTTTCTGGATATATAGTAATGTATCTAGCTCAGTGAATATCAATTTCTTGATATATAGTAATCTGTCTAGCTCAGTGTATATCAGTTTCTGGATATATAGTAATGTATGTAGCTCAGTGTATATCAGTTTCTGGATATATAGTAATGTATGTAGCTCAGTGTATATCAGTTTCTGGATATATAGCAATGTCTAGCTCAGTGTATATCAGTTTCTGGATACATAGTAGTGTAGCTCAGTGTATATCAGTTTCTGGATATATAGTAATGTGTGTGAATATCAATTTCAGTAATCTAGTATATCAGTTATGTAGCTGGATATATAGTAATGTGTCTAGCTCAGTGTATATCAGTCAGGATATATGGATGTATAGTAATGTGTCTAGCTCAGTGTATATCAGTTTCTGGATATATATTAATGTATCTAGCTCAGTGTATATCAGTTTCTGGATATATAGTAACGTGTATAGCTCAGTGTATATCAGTTTCTGAATATATAGTAATGTATCTAGCTCAGTGTATATCAGTTTCTGAATATATAGTAATGTATGTAGCTCAGTGTATATCAGTTTCTGGATATATAGTAACGTGTATAGCTCAGTGTATATCAGTTTCTGGATATATAGTAATGTGTATAGCTCAGTGTATATCAGTTTCTGGATATATAGTAATGTATCTAGCTCAGTTTCTGTATATAGTAATGTATGTAGCTCAGTGTATATCAGTTTCTGGATATATAGTAATGTATGTAGCTCAGTGTATATCAGTTTCTGGATATATATAGTAATGTGTATCTAGCTCAGTGTATATCAGTTTCTGGATATATATAGTAATGTATGTAGCTCAGTGTATATCAGTTTCTGGATATATATAGTAATGTATGTAGCTCAGTGTATATCAGTTTCTTGATACATAGTAATAGGTATGTAGCTCAGTGTATATCAGTTTCTGGATATATATAGTAATGTATGTAGCCTCAGTATATCAGTTTCTGGATATATAGTAATGTATGTAGCTCAGTGTATATCAGTTTCTGGATATATAGTAATAGGTGTAGTTCAGTGTATATCAGTTTCTGGATATATAGTAATGTATGTAGCTCAGTGTATATCAGTTTCTGGATATATAGTAATGTATGTAGCTCAGTGTATATCAGTTTCTTGATATATAGTAATGTGTGTAGATCAGTGTATATCAGTTTCTGGATATATAGTAATGTGTTTAGCTCAGAGTATATCATCAGTTTCTGGATATATAGTAATGTGTGTAGCTCAGTGTATATCAGTTTCTGGATATATAGTAATGTGTGTAGCTCAGTGTATATCAGTTTCTGGATATATAGTAATGTGTAGTAGCTCAGTGTATATCAGTTTCTGGATATATAGTAATGTGTGTAGCTCAGTGTATATCAGTTTCTGTATATCAGATATATAGTAATGTGTGTAGCTCAGTGTATATCAGTTTCTGGATATATAGTAATGTGTGTAGCTCAGTGTATATCAGTTTCTGGATATATAGTAATGTATCATTTCTGTAGCTCAGTGTATATCAGTTTCTGGATATATAGTAGTAATGTGTAGCTCAGTGTATATCAGTTTCTGGATATATAGTAATGTATGTAGCTAGCTCAGTTTCTGGATATATATAGTAATATAGCTCAGTTTCTGGATATATAGTAATGTGTGTAGCTATCAGTTTCTGGTATATCAGTTTCTGGATATATAGTAATATGTATATAACGTATCTAGTGAAGCTCCAGTGTATATCAGTTTCTGGATATATAGTAATGTATGTAGCTCAGTGTATATCAGTTTCTGATATATAGTAATGTGTGTAGCTCAGTGCATATCAGTGTATATCATTTCTGGATATATAGTAATGTGTGTGTAATATCAGCTCAGTGTATATCAGTTTCTGGATATATAGTAATGTATGTAGCTCAGTGTATATATATAATGTAACAGTTCTGTATATCAGTTTCTGGATATATAGTAATGTGTGTAGTTTCTCAGTGTATATCAGTTTCTGGATATATAGTAATGTATATAGCTCAGTGTATATCAGTTTCTGGATATATAGTAATGTGTGTAGCTCAGCTATCAGTTTCTGGATATATAGTATATCTCAGTGTATATCTTTCTGGATATATAGTAATGCTCATATAGTGTATATCAGTTTCTGAATATATAGCTCAGCGTTTCTGGATATCAGTTTCAGTTTCTGGATATATAGTAATGTGTGTAGCTCAGTGTATATCAGTTTCTGGATATATAGTAATGTGTGTAGCTCAGTGTATATCAGTTTCTGGATATATAGTAATGTGTGTAGCTCAGTGTATATCAGTTTCTGGATATATAGTAATGTGTGTAGCTCAGTGTATATCAGTTTCTGGATATATAGTAATGTGTGTAGCTCAGTGTATATCAGTTTCTGGATATATAGTAATGTGTGTAGCTCAGTGTATATCAGTTTCTGTATATATAGTAATGTGTGTAGCTCAGTGTATATCAGTTTCTGGATATATAGTAATGTGTGTAGCTCAGTGTATATATCAGTTTCTGGATATATAGTAATGTGTGTTTCTGGAGTTCAGTGTATATCAGTTTCTGGATATATAATGTAATGTGGATATAGTTTCTGAGTAGCTCAGTGTATATCAGTTTCTGGATATATAGTAATGTATGTAGCTCAGTGTATATCAGTTTCTGGATATACAGTAATGTGTATAGCTCAGTGTATATCAGTTTCTGGATATATAGTAATGTGTGTAGCTCAGTGTATATCAGTTTCTGGATATATAGTAATGTGTGTAGCTCAGTGTATATCAGTTTCTGGATATATAGTAATGTGTCTAGCTCAGTGTATATCAGTTTCTGGATATATAGTAATGTGTCTAGCTCAGTGTATATCAGTTTCTGGATATATAGTAATGTGTGTAGCTCAGTGTATATCCGTTTCTGGATATATAGTAATGTGTCTAGCTCAGCCTCTGTACTACATGGTAACTACAGCAACCATGGAGTGACATATCACGTGACAACCATCACACTTATCATGAGCCTATATGAATGTTTACGATTCTGCTTTTTGTATTATCATTTCAATAGATGATCTCCTCACAGTTACGAACAACGCAACCCATATTTCAGTAAGCAAAGTGATTTTATTGGATTATATGACATAGCATCTGTATCCTATATGTCTACACATTGAGGAGAAACCCTGACCCCCAACTCTCGTCGGCTCTCGCATATTCTCGGTGCACCAACATGGCGACGGCTGCGGTCAGTCTGTGGCGACCGCTGTACAACGAGAGGGTCAAGTGGGGGTCAGGGTCGAGTATTAAAGAAAAAAGAACTAACGTTCATTGCATTGGCGTCATGATTGATGGAGCGGACCCACCCGTACATATATGTCATTGCCATTGACAAGATGCAACACCCTTATCCCAATCACCGGATTGTCTGGTCCAGTGTGCAAACTTCGTGTAGCTGTTGCAAAGTGGGGTTTAAACAGACAAACATCTGTACAGAAATAACAGCTTGATTGATAGAGGAGCAATCTTTGGAACAGGTGTTGGTCCAGACTGAAGGTCATACCACCTATCTCTGGTCAGCGATTGGGAGATCCTCGGTAAAGCATTCGAGGCGAAACAGTCTAAAGGCAATAATTCTTAATACGTCCCATCAAAGAAATAGCTAGACTGACTACGGGCGAGTGTCACAAACAAGGGACATAACTACTCGTCGTGTTCCCACTTGTCCAAGAATTCCTGCAGAGTGACCATTCCGTCTTCCCCTGCGACTGCCTCGATGGTGTTCTCGATGACGGTGTCGCTGTACCCACAGTCCACTAACAACGCACGAAATTCTGCTCTGTCCAGTTTCCCGTCACCACTCGTGTCACGGCTTTTAAACAATTTCCTAACGTGACAAACTCTGCAAATAATAAGAACGTCAGACGTAACTTTACATCACTGTTCGTGATAACAGTATTACACCAGTGTGTGTGATAACAGTATTACATCAGTGTGTGTGATAACAGTATTACATCAGTGTGTGGGATAATAGTATTACATCACTCTGTGTGTGATAACAGATTACATCACTGTGTGTGATTACAGTTTTGCATCACTGTGTGTGATAACAGTATTACATCACTGTGTGTGATAACAGTATTACATCACTGTGTTTGATAACAGTATTACATCAGTCTTCGTGATAACAGTATTACATCACTCTGTGTGATAACAGTATTACATCAGTCTTCGTGATAACAGTATTACATCAGTGTGTGTGATACGTATTACATCAGTGTGTGTGATAACAGTATTACATCAGTGTGTGTGATAACAGTATTACATCACTGTGTGTGATAACAGTATTACATCACTGTGTGTGATAACAGTTTACATGACTGTTTTGATAACAGTATTACATCTGTGTGTGTGATAACAGATTACATCACTGTGTGTGATAACAGATTACAGTGTGTGATAACAGTATTACATCAGTGTGTGTGATAATAGTATTACATCACTGTGTGTGATAACAGTATTACATCAGTCTTCGTGATAACAGTATTACATCAGTGTGTGTGATAACAGTATTACATCAGTGTGTGTGATAACAGTATTAAATGACTGTTTGATAACAGTATTACATCACTATGTCTGATAACAGTATTACATCAGTCTTCGTGATAACAGTATTACATCAGTGTGTGTGATAACAGTATTACATCAGTGTGTGATAACAGTATTACATCACTATGTGTGATAACAGTATTAAATGACTGTGTGTGATAACAGTATTACATCACTATGTCTGATAACAGTATTACATCAGTCTTCGTGATAACAGTATTACATCACTGCACGTGATAACAGTTTTGCATCACTGTGTGTGATAACAGTATTACATTTAAATATGACATTATATAGTCACGTGATATAAATGTCATAGTGTATACTTACTCTATCTTATCTTTAGGAACTTTTCCAGTGACAAAATCATTCAGCTCTTGCAGGGACAGTCTCTGGTCATCAGATGTGTCATATGTTGCGAATGTTTGCTGTGGGATAGAGACAAAACTAATCAAGAAACGTCAAACCTATGATTGAAAATAAAAGTCCCTCAGTACTTCGACTGCGGTGTCATCTTGCAATAGTACAACCATACAACACTGTAACAATACAACAATACAACACTGCAACAGTACAACAATACAACACTGCAACAGTACAAGAATACAGCATCTTCATAGCTGTAACCTAGATAGGAGCTTCCCACGACACTTATACTGACGGTTGTTCTTCTCACAGTGGGACCTACCTTCCGAACTAGGCTCTGTACGACCCCTCTCAGCTCCCCAATAGGGAAGTTGCCGTGACAGTCCTTGTCTTTATACCATCGTGCGTATATCACTGACGTGCATGTTATAACCACATAATGCAGTATATCACTCACGTGCATGTTATAACCACATAATGCAATATACCACTCACGTGCATGTTATAACCTAATGGTTCAGTATTTAACCCACGTACATATTATAACCACATAGCTCAGTATATAACCCACGTGCATGTTATAACCGCAAGGTTCAGTATATCACCCACGTGTATGTTATTCCCGCATGGTTCAGTATATAACACACTTGCGTGTTATACCCACATGGTTCGGGATATAACAACGTGTATGTTATAACCACATATTCAGTATATCATCCATGTGTATGTTATAACCACACGGTTAAGTATATCACCCACGTGCATGTTATAACACATGGTTCAGTATATCACCCACGTGCATGTTATAATCACAAGGTTCAGTATATCACCCACGTACATGTTATAACACATGGTTCAGTATATCACCCACGTGCATGTTATAACACATGGTTCAGTATATCACCCACGTGCATGTTATAAACACATGGTTCAGTATATCACCCACGTGCATGTTATAACACATGGTTCAGTATATCACCCACGTGCATGTTATAACACATGGTTCAGTATATCACCCACATGCATGTTATACACACATGGTTCAGTATATCACTATGTCCATGTTATAACCGCATGGTTCAGTATATCACCCACGTGCATGTTATAACACATGGTTCAGTATATCACCCACGTGCATGTTATAACACATGGTTCAGTATATCACCCATGTGCATGTTATAAGCACATGGTTCAGTATATCACTATGTCCATGTTATTACCGCATGGTTCAGTATGCCACCCACGTGCATGTTATAACCACATTCTGCCGTTTGTAACGTGCACTTATAACCACATGGCGCGGTATGTCATCCACATGCATGTTGTAACCACATGGTTCAGTATATATATCTCTCACATGCATGTTATAGTGACATGGTGCGGCATATCACCCACATGATGTTATTCCCACATTGTGCGGTTCGTCACGTGCATGTTATAACCACATGGTTCAGTATATCACCACGTGCATGTTATAACCACATGGTTCAGTATATCACCATTTGCATGGTATAACCACATGGCGCGGTGATGGATTTGTCACCGGTTTGTCAGTGCGAGCCATCTGAGATACCATGTTGCAGTTGTACATGGCTTGCCCACTAACACAGTAATTGCCAACTCCGAGCCTACCCGCCAAAGGACGAACACGAGGCAGAGCAACCAAAAGTACCTTCTTGTTTAATCGGCAATGATTGTTTGATTCAAATATATGTCTTCAAATACCATCTTTGAAGGTGTAGTTTGGTACTGTGGGCGAGCTGGCTAAGGCGCTATGCTAGTGATCAAGCGAATTTGAGGTGTCGGGATCGAGCCCACCTGTGATCGGGTGTAAAAACCTTAGAGTCAGCTTTGTGTGCAGACTCTTTCAGTGTTGTCACAACCCTTAGTGTACAGTACACAACCCTGTGCACTTAAAAGAACCCACGAATCCGTTGGTATATGACCAGATGGTGGCCACATGAATACGTGCAAACACCTAGTTGCGGGTACAGCAACGTGCAGTGAACTTGGACAAAGTACTGTGACTATGTGTCCCAGTCCACCCAGCTGTGAATGGGCACCTCGTAAGGATGAGAAAGCCGCAATAACTCGGTGCACCTAGTGGCTGCAAGAGTCGTATGATCCCTGGGGAGTTGAGATTGATAATACGATGTGCCGTTGAGATTGACATCCAGTGATTGAGGGAAAAATATCAGCGCTTTGAGCATGTACTAGTTGCGTGGATATGTGCGTTATATAAATATCCTATAATAATAGTAATAATAATAATACTGTGCCACGGGGAATATAATAACCACCGACTTTCCATTCTTCAGGCAAGCAGTCTGTACCTCTAACTTATAACATACGCTCTGTTATAAACCTGTTACACAAATTCAGAAAATTCGTTTCCATGGAAATTGCACAGCGAGGAACTTACCGCTATTTCCTCCATGCCGTCGATTTTATCACAGAATTTTTTGAATTCTCCGAACGTGACAGTGTTGTCGTCATTTACATCCATCTTGTCATAGGCCTCGCGCACACACTCCAGAATATTATCCACTGCCTTTTGGTTCGCCATCGTTGTCTGAGTTTGTCCGCGGTACTAAACACGACCCTCTGCTTGCTCGAGCTCGTCCCGAATGCCAGCAGACGCTAGAAATTGAAAGCGAGGCTGAAGGAGAATGAAAGCGAGGTTTATGTCAGGCTGTTTAAGTCCCCGGGTTGTTTCATTGACACGTGATCCGCAGTCTTCCGAGACATCCATCACTGCTGTCAGTCTCACTCGCCTGTCACCACACAAGGCCATAAAAGCACATATATAACTGGGCACATTGAGCACATACACAAGCACATACAAGCAGAACAGCACATGTGAATACAAGCAGAACAGGGGCACATGTGAACACCCACAGAGAGGTGAGAGCATGCGAACATAGACATAGACAGATGGGTACGTGAACACCCACAGAGAGGTGAGAGCATAACATAGACAGATGGGTACGTGTGAACACACAGAGAGGTGAGAGCATAACATAGAGATGGGTGTGCGAACACTTGTGTGTGTGTGTGTGTGTGTGTGTGTGCGTGCGTGTGGATGGATGTATGTATGTGCGTGCGTGCGTGCTTGCACAGAGAGAGGGAGTGTGGGGGAGGGGAGAGTTTCTCTATAGTGTAAAGTATACATGTAACACCCACATACAGAAGGGTAAATGGAAACCTCGAGAGCTTCTCCATAGCAGCTCTGCCCCCAACAACTCCACCCCACACATTTTACAGGGGAGCAACTTTGCCCCCAACAACTCCACCCCACACATTTTACAGGGGAGCAGCTTTGCCCCCAACAACTCCACCTCACACATTTTACAGGGGAGCAACTTTGCCCCCAACAACTCCACCCCACACATTTTACAGGGGAGCAACTTTGCCCCCAACAACTCCACCCCACACATTTTACAGGGGAGCAACTTTGCCCCAACAACTCCACCCCACACATTTTACAGGGGAGCAACTTTGCCCCCAACAACTCCACCCCACACATTTTACAGGGGAGCAACTTTGCCCCCAACAACTCCACCCCACACATTTTACAGGGGAGCACACATTTTACAGGGGAGCAACTTTGCCCCCAACAACTCCACCCCACACATTTTACAGGGGAGCAACTTTGCCCCAACAACTCAACCCACACACCTTTACAGGGGAGCAACTTTTCCCCCAACAACTCCACCCCACACATTTTTACAGGGGAGCAACTTTGCCCCCAACAACTCCACCCCCACACATTTTACAGGGGAGCACACATTTTACAGGGGAGCAACTTTGCCCCCAACAACTCCACCCCACACATTTTACAGGGGAGCAACTTTGCCCCCAACAACTCCACCCCACACATTTTACAGGGGAGCAACTTTGCCCCCAACAACTCTACCCCACACCTTTTACAGGGGAGCAACTTTGCCCCCAACAACTCTACCCCACACATTTTACAGGGGAGCAACTTTGCCCCCAACAACTCTACCCCACACATTTTACAGGGGAGCAACTTTGCCCCCAACAACTCTACCCCACACATTTTACAGGGGAGCAATTTTGCCCACAATGTTAACATTTTGCCCACCGTAATGATACATTACTTATATATAATAAGTATGTATTAATGACCACCTAACTATTCTTATAATTCCCATCTTGTAATGCTTTGTAAATCTGTAAACACTTAAGTTCATGAAATCAACATGTTATACCTTATCCAGCTTTGGTCCTGAGCAGAGTATTAACGTGGGTGAGTAGTGAGGTGAGTAGTAATTGTAACTAGAAAAAGAAATACAAAGCAGCAGAGAAGCTTTGGAGAAGTCTATTTAATGCTTGATCTCTTTTAAAGCTAAATATCCTGAGCAGCGTGAGTACAAAGATGAGTATGAAGGTTGACAGCCGTTTATATTGTGGGCAAAGGTCCTCCCCTGTAAAACATGTGTTGGGTAGAGGTCCTCCCCCGTAAAACATGTGTTGGGTAGAGGTCCTCCCCTGTAAAACATGTGTTGGGTAGAGGTCCTCCCCTGTAAAACATGTGTTGGGTAGAGGTCCTCCCCATGTAAAACATGTGTTGGGTAGAGGTCCTCTCCTGTAAAACATGTGTTGGGTAGAGGTCCTCCCCTGTAAAATATGTGTTGGATAGAGTTCCTGTGGGTAAAATTCCTGGATTTATATTATGCTTTACACATTTGCTAGATGTGCGTGAAACAGACCGTATATTCGCCGCGGCCTTGCTGGGCGCATCGACCCGCCGACCAGCCCAGCCAGTCTGCTGACCAGTGTGTTCATGCTGGGCACGCCCTCGGCATTCCTCGGACCTGCTCGACTTGTTCACATGGGGGCGGGGCCAACCAGACCGTGACGACAACATACCTGTCACTCCCGATGGGCGGGTCAGACAACGGCACATGACATTGTCTGGTCAAGTGAGGCATTGCCAGGACGCAATCCGCTGACTGGAACGGTATTGGGATGATGGCAAGGTTATTGATTGACCATACACCCTGATACAAACTGCCATGTACACTTGCGTAAACCTTTCAAACTGACATGTACACCAGTACAAAGTTTCAAATTTACTTCAAGTATCGCCGCCAAACTCATGTGTAGATCTATAAAAGGCTGCCACATTGACGTGAACGTTAAAACACTGACACACTGACACACTGACATCTATCAAGCTGACAGATAAACTGAAACAGTGCTGGTACAACACAGACTAGAGATACACCCTGATACAGCACTGTCCAGATATACACCCTGATACAACACTGTCTAGAGGTACACCCTGATACAACACTGTCTAGATATACACCCTGATACAACACTGTCTAGATATACACCCTGACACAACACTGTCTGGAGATACACCCTGATACAACACTGTCTGGAGATACACCCTGATACAACACTGTCTGTAGATACACCCTGATACAACACTGTCTGTAGATACACCCTGACACAACACTGTCTAGAGATACACCCTGATACAACACTGTCTAGATATACACCCTGATACAACACTGTCTAGATATACACCCTGACACAACACTGTCTAGAGATACACCATGATACAACACTGTCTAGAGATACACCCTGATACAACACTGTTTAGTGATACACCCTGATACAACACTGTCTGTAGATACACCCTGATACAACACTGTTTAGTGATACACCCTGATACAACATTGTCTAGAGATACACCCTGATACAACACTGTCTAGATATAAACCCTCTTGCAACACTGTTTGTGGATACACCCTGATACAACACTGTTTAGTGATACACCCTGATACAACACTGTCTGTAGATACACCCTGATACAACACTGTCTGTAGATACACCCTGATACAACACTGTCTAGAGATACACCCTGATACAACACTGTCTAGAGATACACCCTGATACAACACTGTTTAGATATACACCCTGATACAACACTGTCTAGATATACACCCTGACACAACACTGTCTAGAGATACACCCTGATACAACACTGTCTAGATATACACCCTGATACAGCACTGTCTAGATATACATCCTGATACAACACTGTCTGTAGATACACCCTGATACAACACTGTCTAGATATACACCCTGATACAACACTGTCTGTAGATACACCCTGATACAACACTGTCTAGAGATACATCCTGATACAACACTGTCTGTAGATACATCCTGATACAACACTGTCTAGAGATACATCCTGATACAACACTGTCTAGAGATACATCCTGATACAACACTGTCTGTAGATACACCCTGATACAACACTGTCTAGATATACATCCTTATACAACACTGTCTGCACTCTCTTCAACTGTGTCAGGTCATCTGTAGAACTGGAACATACCATCAACCGCATACCAGCATACCAGCATACCAGAGATCACCCTAGATACATGTGATAGCCAGGTTTGCGTAGCCCCTGAGAACTACACAGTTTACCCCCTTCTCATCCAGCCCACAACACAAAACGATATACTGATACTTGGCTTAGTCAACTCAACTCTGATATTGTCAAATCTTTATTCTGAAACTTGGTTTGTCAACTCAACTCTGATATTGTCAAATCTTTATTCTGATATTTAGTTTATCAACTCAACTCTGATATTGTCAAATCTTTATTCTGAAATTTGGTTTGTTAACTCAACTCTGATATTGTCAAATCTTTATTCTGATATTTAGTTTATCAACTCAACTCTGATATTGTCAAATCTTTATTCGGAAATTTGGTTTGTCAACTCAACTCTGATATTATCAAATCTTTATTCTGATATTTAGTTTGTCAACTCAACTCTGATATTGTCAAATCTTTATTCTGAAATTTGGTTTGTTAACTCAACTCTGATATTGTCAAATCTTTATTCTGATATTTAGTTTCTCAACTCAACTCTGATATTGTCAAATCTTTATTCTGAAATTTGGTTTGTCAACTCAACTCTGATATTGTCAAATCTTTATTCTGATACTTGGTTTGTCAACTCAACTCTGACATTGTCAAATCTTTATTCTGAAACTTGGTTTGTCAACTCAACTCTGACATTGTCAAATCTTTATTCTGAAACTTGGTTTGTCAACTCAACTCTGACATTGTCAAATCTTTATTCTGATATCTACTTTATCAACTCAACTCTGATATTGTCAAATCTTTATTCTGAAATTTGGTTTGTCAACTCAACTCTGATATTGTCAAATCTTTATTCTGAAACTTGGTTCGTCAACTCAACTCTGATATTGTCAAATCTTTATTCTGATACTTGTCTTTGTCAACCTAACTCAAATATGTGCTATTGTCAAATCTATGTCTATGCTGTATTCTGATACCTGACTGCATCAACTATTAAACTATAAATGACTGCATCAACTATTAAACTATTACCTGACTGCATTAACTGACTGCATCAACTGTTAAACTATTAATGGCTGCATCAACTGTTAAACTATTACCTGACTGCATCAACTGTTAAACTATTAATGACTGCATCAACTGTTAAACTATTAATGGCTGCATCAACTGTTAAACTATTACCTGACTGCATCAACTGTTAAACTATTAATGACTGCATCAACTGTTAAACTATTAATGACTACATCAACTGTTGAACTAATACCTGATTGCATCAAC